AAAAGAAGAAATGGAGGTTGGAAGAGGAGGGATGAAGGGTGGAAAAGGAAGGATAGAGGCGCGATAAAGAGGGATGGAGGCGAGAGAAGGAAGGCTGGAGAGGGAGAAGGAGGAATGGAGGGTGGAAAAGGAGGGATGGAGGGGGGAAGGAGGGATGGAGGGGGGAAGGGTGCCGCGCCCCCGATTGGCTGCTTAAGCACAAAATCCGGCGATGGGTTTGTGGGGAGGGGGCACAGATGGGCCAGGGGCTGCTGGAGGGCAGAATTAGGCGCTTGGGCGGCTGCAGGGCCCCCCCGGCAGCCATTTTGTGGCAGTACCTGCCGTGGTGCCAGGGCTGGGCGGCGGGGCTGGAGTAGCGCCCTGCCTGGCCCTGCCCTGCCCGGCGGGGCCGTCAGGGTCTCGGGGAGGGGGGAGGCCTCCACGCCACGGTGGGAAACGTATTACCGCGCCCGCCACGCTTGCCCATTGACAGAGATAAACATGCAAATGAGTCGCTTTGCATGTCATTAGCATACAGGCAGATTGCGGGGGGAGGGGCCGCAGTGTGCGCACTGCAGCGTGCTTTAATGCAACACCCAAACAGCCATTGCGGGTCTCTCCCGCCAGCAGCACCTGCGGCTCCCCGCGCCCCCCGCCGCGGACAGTGGCACCCCATCACCCTCTCTCACCGCCCGACCCGCCAAGCCGCCACCGGGGCTGCCCCTCCGGGTACCCGGCTCGCCCAGCCCGGCCTGGGACTGCAGAGCACAAAGACACACAGGAATAAATAAAGCCAAACCTCGGGCAGTGTTCTTTTGGGGCTATTTCTGTTTTTTCACCTATTTCTGTATTCTTTCACCTGGTGCAGGGAAGGGAGCGGGCGGAGGGCCTTCAGCCACCGCCTCTTGCAGCCCCGCTCAGCCGCCGCCTTTAATTCGTGGGGTGGGTGGAGTGGGGAAAAGGAGAGAGAAAATCAGTGGATTTGGGGAGGGAAGGTGCAGGGAAGGAGCACGGCTCTGGCTGAGGGGTCCCAGCTACTCCTGGAGGTGGGGGGCAGCCGGGGTGCAGCCTCTGGGGGTGCGTCTGCAAACGACGGGTGTGAACCCGATGTCCGTGTCCGTCTGTGGACACGGGTGTGTCCGCGACCTCTGTATGTGCCGCACACGCGTGTTGCATCCCCGCACCGTACCCGGGTGGGTGTGCCACGCCGCGGGTAATCCACCTCGGAGTGGATTATGTGGTATCTGTGTGTGTCCCGCACACGTGTGTGTGCACATGAGCGGGGGGTGTCCACACACTCCGGGCATCCGTGGGGCGCATCCGACCGCGGGGTGGGCACAGCACCCGCGGCCGGGGGGTGCGGGGAAGGCCACCGCCCCTCGCTCGCAGTTGAAACGGGGGGATTCACCTTGGCCGGGCTTCCCCTCCTCGCCGGCCGCCCTGCGGCGAGGGGGGCACAGCAAGGCGCCCCGTTGTCACCCCCCCGGGTTTTCGTTGAAGAGGGAACAGCTCTCCCGTCCTTGCGAGAAAGGCAGGAGAACAGCCTGCGACGGGTCGTGGGCAGGGGAAAACGCATCCGTGGGGCAATCCACCCTCAGTGGGAAAGGGGGGACGCTTCCTGGGCACCTTTGTCCTCCCACGCCCCCAAAATCCCCGCACGACTGCGATGAGACAGCGGGGAAGCGCCCTGGTACCACGGATGCAGGGCTGGGTGCGGTACCCGGGAGCCCCTCGCAGCGGCCGCTCCGCAGCCCGGGGGGACCTGCTGGGGAATGAACCCCAGTCCCATTTAGGGGGCACTCGGCAGGGAAAACACCCCCTTTTCTGCGTGCTCCCGAGCCGCGGCACAGCCCCGTGTCCCACACCTCCCAGAACAGCGGGTCCCCACTCTGCAAAGAAACAGGCTTTTTGGTCTCGTAAATAAATCAGATTTTTATTCTTCAAAAGAAACACACTTTTTATTCTTGCAAATAAACACATTTTTTTTCTCTTGTAAATAAACTCGATTTTTATTCTAGCAAATAAGCCCGCTTTTCTCCGCCTCGGTGGTTTATTTCTGGCTGGAAAAGACAAGGCGGGGAGAAGGTGCGGGGCCGGACCGGGTGTTGTTTTGGGGAGGGGGAAACCCAAACTCCGTCCGGCGTCGAGAAATAAAATCGCGCTATATCATCTCCGTGTCCCACTGCAGAGGAGATAAAAATATCGGCGAATTTGTTTTCCAAAACAATGTTTAAAACCTCGAGTATATCTTTTCCCCGTATGTCTTCGGGAGAGAGAAAATTCAGAGCAACCCCGTTATGATTTTTTTTCTGCTGAACATTTCACCCAAATCCAGTTAATAGATTATTATTGCAAATAATGCCGCCTCTTTTTTTAGCAATTCAATATACAGTTGGAAATTAGAAACACCGTTGTTTGGTCTTTGGTTGGGTTTGTTTGTTTGGTTGTTTGTTGGTTTTTTTTTTTTTTTAATTATTATTATATGTACGTTTTGTGGTGTGGGGGGGTTAAGCTTTTTTTTTTTTTATGTACCTGAAACACAATTTTCTTAAGCTTAAGTAGCCCTTCAGAATAGACCGTTGGATAAAATTCGGAGGTTCTGCCTTTTAAAACGACAAGTGTTAAGTGAAGGCTTCGGGAGAAGCCCCATGGCACGGACAATGCCGAGCAGGGATGACTCTGTCCGGTGTGTGCCACTTACGGGAATCATCCTTTTAATTTCAGTCTCGAGTGAGAGAATTTCAAGAGTCTGAAAAAGTGGGGATCCTGAGACCTGCGACCGCTGGAGCGATCCCAGCAGCCCCGGCCCCGGCCCACAGCAGCCCCCGAATCCGCTCTCCATCCTCCTGTGCCCGATTCCTCCAGTATCGGGATGGCAGTGACAGCCCTGAGCTGCCGGGCAAAGTTTGCAGCTCACGACAGAATTGCTCTAAGAGCGATGCGGAGCGTAGGGTCCGGCCCGGCTCTGCGGAGCCGGTCCTGGTCTAGGTCCAGGGCTGTCACCGCGCTTGTGCCGCCACCGCCTTCTGCCTCCAGCCCCAGGCACAGCCGTCACCCGAAAGCATCTCTGGTTCCAGCTTTGGGGCCAGGCACAGACGAGAAGGAGGAGGGGAAGAGGTGCTTAACGAGAGAGGACTCTATTTCTGGCAGTAGGGCCGGCTCTTTG